GGCAGCCAGGCTCACAGCCTTGCCGCAGGCCTAGCAGGCTGGCCGGTTGGCTGTCCGAGCACCCTGGCCCAGCCTAACCCTCTAGCCCTGCCCTAGCTCCAGAGAGCGTCCTGCTCCCTCGGCAGCCAGGCTCACACTCCCTGTGCTGAACCAGCCCTTCCCCTTTATAACTCCCAGCTGGGCCTTAATTGGCCAACGCCGCCCAGCTGGGCTGAATTCCCCGGGCCTGCTCCAGGCCAGGGTTTGGCTCTTAAAGGGGCCAGTACAGGGCAGCTGCCCTGTTACAGGGCTTCTTTACTATAGATTTTGAAAAATGTTCTAAAGCTAAAATGTTTTAGAAAATATTTCTCTCTCTTTTCATTGTCAGGTCTTTAAAAAACTGGTGATCCTATATTTTGACTATAACAACAAAGCCCTGTGATGCAAAGACTAGCATATGAATGGACAAGAATAGCTATATAAATGAGAAAAGAGAAAATTGAATGTGAAGGCATGAGGCTGCATATAAACCTGCTGACATCAGCAAAAAGCCTATCTAGAGATTAAGTCTGACATTAAATATTATATCCAATAGTATATATGCAGTGAGTAAATAGTATATATTTCAAAATCACTTGAAAATATTTAAAGACACTTAAAGATAATAAAACAGTTTAAAGACAGAGTTTGATAATAGGGACTAGAACATGTACTTGGTATTGCTTGGGTCCTTAAATAAATTTTGTTTTTCTTCATTTAAATCTGGGGTGGGGTTGGGACTGAGGACTTCAGTATGCAGGCTGCCCTGGAGAAAAAGGACAATCCCAGCTCTCTCTCACCGCAGCAGCTTGGGGCCTGACCAAAAGTGCCTGTGCACGACAGGCATAGTATCAGCCTTTTCCCAGATTCCTTGCTGACTGCAGTTAGTACTTCAGCAGTTTTCTGACCTATGTCTTGGACTTGAGTGCCCAGTGTCAGGTACCCATTGCCCCATGCCAGATATCAGGAATTGATATTTCTCATCTTGAGGAACCAGTTATTGTAGATAACAGTGAAATAAAAAGGGTGGAAAATCTTTAAATTGTATTAGGCAGTCAAGAAACCAAAGAAAACCCAGGTAAGATGGAAGAAGATATAAAAAATATGAAAGTCTTGAAGTTACACCAATTTCACCTAATTTAAGTCACCACTTTGTTCTAGAGGCAGATCTAAGATAAAAATTGTGTATTGTTAAACCTTGTCTGATTGTGTCATCTCTCTCTCTCTCTGTCAGTATCATAATGTCTAGAGGAGAAGTTGATCTGTGATTCTATGCTCTTTTTGTTAGCTTACGTTCCTCTAGTCTTCTTTGGTGTTATGTGTCATATCTCTGTCTTCCTCTTGATTTATGCTCCTCACAGGCACTGAAGGAAAGGAGTGAGAACACACATCCTGAAAAGGAAATACTGTATCTGTCATCATAGTATCTAGGCTTTCCTTTCCTCTTCTAGATATGCCATTGCCTCTCTATTAGTACCCAGACTATGCAACTATTTGAGAAGGTCATACAATTGGAAGGGACTCAAGTAATTAAATCTCCCAGGAGCTGTAAACTGTGTCTACCCTGCCAGAAAACTGGAGAAGAAATGCCTTTTAATGAGCTGTTAACAGAGGAATGTGTATTTGCAGATGGCTGAGGTGCCAGGAAATCTAATCATTAGTATTTCTAAAAAAAACCCCAAGGAGTCCTGTAGCACCTTGGAAACTAACAAGACTCAGTCTCTCTCTCTCTCTCTCAAAAAAGTTTTCCTGCAGGATGACAGCATGGGAACACGCACACCTCCCTTGGCTGTGCCCACTGCAGCTAAAGCAGCCAAGTTGCTGTGGCTAGAGGGCTGGGGTTGTCTGCACACCAAACCCCTCCTCCCCAGCCACATCCCAGAACAATTATTTACATGAAGAAAAACAAAACTTATTTAAGGAACCAAGCAACACCAGGTAAATCTTTTAAAGGTGTAAAGATACAACAGAAATTGGTGACATGAGATTTTTAAGTAGCCAGATACACAGGGCTTGGTGGATTAGAACATTAACACTCATTGGCCCATTACAAGATTACAGTGAAACATCCTTCAGTCTGATTCAGAAAAGGAATAGTGAAATCTGCATTATCCTAGGAAAACTCAAAATCCTGAACCTAAGTCTAGAGGGTGAGAAAGGGACTGATTTTCAACAACAACAAAAAACCCTATTTATTTGTATTTTTAAGCCTAAGCATCTATTCTGTTAAGGATTTCAGCTCTGGGATGGGGGTATAGCTATGTATAGCCACCCACTTAGCATCAAGGTCTATCCGAACTGGGGCCAGAATCCAAAGCCTATATGCACTGCTCTCCTGCCAGCACTACACGTGGCTGCCATGGTCTCTGGCCCCTCTGACAGCCTCACCAGAGGGGGACGCCTGACGGAAGGAGGTCTGGGTGGGGCTAGCGCTGGGTCCAGAAACAGGTGCAACAGCATACAGTGCCAGCAGGATTGTGATGTGGCAGGGCTGACTGCTGAACAGTAAAAGAGGGGGAGGGGAAGCAGGTCCCCCATTCCTCCTGTCCCCTCTTGTCAAGGCCCCGAATCTGTTCTGTGCTTCCTCCTCTTCTTGCCCCGCTCCCCAGGGCTCCAGATCTTTCCTACACCCCATACTCTTGTTGTCCCATCCCCCCAGAGCACTGGATCCCTCCTGCACACATGATCCTTCTTCCCCCACCCTCAGGGCCCTTACAGCCTACTCCCCGCCCCCGCAATCATGCCCATCCACCTGAAAACTGAGCCCACCCACTTTTCTGTCCTAGCTATGCCACTGATCTGGGACAGTGAAAATGTATATTTCAAAAACCTGGCAAGTTCATTTTTAAGTTACTGATAAAGTGAATTTGAAAAGATTTCCTCCAAAAATTTACTTTTTTAAGACAAATGATTTGTTGGGTCTCTACTCTCAGATGACATAACGTTTCTTTTTCCTTTTGCAGATCATCTTCTATAGCTTGTCTCCATTCTTTTTCTATCTTCAAATCTGTTTCTAGTTGAACGCTAGAATTGCAAACAAAAGACCATCATAGTGCATTTCAGTATAATCTTTTTAACAAAATAAATGCTTTTCAATATTGCTAGTTTCACTATCAGTTCAGCACAATAAGCTGTATTTTACTATTTTGTTTTACAGGTTCATTACTTTTAACATTGTGAGATTTCTATGCAATTTCTTAAAAATATTTTGTATAGGAGTGTAATAAGTTATATGAAAATTGAGGCCTTTCATTCAGAGAGGCTTTGAGGGTGTTCCACAATTCTGAAGAACTGGCATTTGTAATTATTTAATCTATTGTCTTAGTATCTACTCTTTGGCAATTGAAACATGCATATTAAATAACTTTCCTGTTTGTCTGAAGTGCTGTGTAACTTTTTAATAATACAGCTCTTATATGTGAGAGAAGATAAGTAGTAAAATGAATTTCTAGTGCTCATAAAAGATGTTGTATTAGTAAGATTTTAAATGCAAAGCCTGATTATGGAGACAGAATTAAGAATATGTAACTTCTAAGGTATCTTGAATACAGAATAAAGGATTTTAAGTTGCTTGCTAGATCTTACTGAAATTCCTGTAAAACAAATGATATAAAGGAGGCTCTGCTAGTCTCTGCTACTGGATTCCACTGATGCAATTCTGTCATCAATTTAAAGTGACAAAGAATAATTCCTTATAGCTGCACAGAAAACAAAAACTAACAGCGGATGAGAGTAAACTCCTGGATCAAAATCTGATTACCTAATGAAAGAAGAAAGAATGGATAGTAGTTACACACGTTTTTATGGAGGAACTTGTGGCCATACTGATTTTAGAACAGCATAGTGAAGTCATTTTTCAAAGGAAAAAAATATTTTGGGGACACTACCTCAGCATATGATTTGTTGGAAAAAGATTAGAAGTGAACATGACGTTAAGGTTTTATAACTCTGGAATTCTAAGGATGAGATTTGAACTATTTTTTTGCCAAAATCTATGAAGACAACTAGTGATAAAGTGAACATTGGTCATGATGGCTGAACAAGTATTGATATTCAAATTAATAAGTGAGGCAATGGTCTGAACACAGATTTGGAAACTCTGAACTCCTAAGCACTAATCCTTGCTGTAGACTTAGATAAATAACCTTTCCAGTTGTCTCACTAAAATAGGGGGAAATACCACCCTACCTGACAGGAAGGTTTATAAAGTGTACTGAAAGCACAGTCTCAGGCCTGGTCTATATTGGGAGGTTAGGTTGAACTTAACTGCATTAGATCAATTTTCTAAAGAATGAGTCCACACCGCCAAGCCCACCGTATTGACTGTAAGGGCCATTAAAGTTGATTCAGTACTCCAGCTTTTCACAGGGAGTAACGGTAAATTTGACCTTGCATGGTTGATTTAGGATAGTGCAGATGCAGTGCTGTGAACGTCGATATTCTTGGCCTCCAGGAGGTTTCCCACAGTGCCCTGTGGCGCAGCCAGTGGAAAGCAGATCAGCAGACAAGCAACACACAAAAAAAAAAAAAAAAAAAAATCCTGGGAAAATTGGAATTTCATTTCCTATATGACCAGACCTCAGAGCAGGCAGCACACCTCAGCAGTACACCTGACCATGAATGTCCAGGATTGGAAATGAGCTCCAGCATGGATCATACAGGAGATCCTGGACCTCATTACTGTGTGGGGAGAGGAATTAGTTCAGGAAAACTATGAAGCAGCAAAAGAAATGCACCTATCTGTGACAAGATCGCACAGGGCATGGCAGAGAAAGGATATACCAGGAACGTCCAGCAGTTCTGCAAGAAAATAAAGGCATTCAGACAGGCATACCAGAAGACAAAAGCAAACAGATGGTCTGGATCATCGCAGCAAACATGCTGTTTCTATGAGCAGCTGCATGGGATCCTGGGGGGGACCAGACCAGTTTCCCAAGCCAGTCTGTGGATTCTCCCAAGACACTCCTCAGGTAGCCTCCGGCAGCAGTGTGGAAGTCAGCGAGGAAGAGGAAGTGAATAGTCAGCAGGCGAGTGGAGCATCCAATCTCACCAACAGCCAGGACCTTTTTATAACTTTAGAGACAATCGCCTCCTCTCAGGACGTCACGCTGCCAGGCACTGGTGGCGAGGAGGGCACTTCTGTGGTGAATTCACATTTTGTAATCATGCTACAGGTGAGGTATGGCAATTGGGTGTGATCTGTGGGGGCCCACTCTGCCTACACAGCAAGAGCTCCCCAGAACAGCTTATTAACATGTCTGAAGATGGAGCGGGAATCTTCTCTGCACACCTCCCATAAAGCTCTCATAGTGGAACTCTTTCATCCTTCTCACTGGCCTTTCTAGGGAGGCTGCTTTACTCCCTCCTCCACAGCAGGACACCTCTCCATGCCAAGCCAGCAGTAAGTGGTCTGGCACCACTGCAGCATAAGATCCAGGTTTCGGGCCACATTCAGTCAGCATCTGCTCCCTATCACTTCGTGTGACTCAGAGAAGACTGGTATTGTGCATGGCAACCTGTATGAAGCACGGGAAACTCTGTAACTGATCCCACAAGCAAGACACCTCCATTTGCTCATTCCCAGCAAAACATTGTTTGAGCCCCTGCCCTGATGCCATGCCTGGACCCTTACCCCTCCCACTCACAGGCTCCTCAGTATCCACGTAAGCCTCTGCCCTGTCACCGCACCAGACTCTCTCCTGCAGGCTCCAGGCAAATGGGGGGTACCAAACACACAGTCACTGCATGAGTCCCAAGCCCTGTCCAGTCACACCATCACAATGGTCCCCCTTTGCAAATGTATATGCTTGCCTAGCTAAGGGAGCTGCTATTTGGTAGCACGATGTTGCACATGCTTTCAAAGAACAAATCCCAACCTGTCCCCTACCATGCCTGCCCCCAAATCGAGTCCAGCTGTTCCTGTTGCATAGTGGGCGTGTAAAAGCATAACTGTGGCTTAGTACATAACACATCAATATTGTCTTTGGACAGACCCTCCTTTAAGTTAAAAGATTAAGTTTTACATTCCACAATGCGTCTCCTGTCAGTATGTAAACAGCTGATCCAGGCTCCTCAGTTCTTTTTCTACAACAGATGAGTGTCATATCTGAAGAGGGGAGGGATAGTGGAGTACCCACAGAGATACTCATCTTGAAGAACATCAGTTACTGTACAGATGAGTAAACCTCCTCTTCTCCTTTGAGAGATATCCCTGTGGGTGCTCCACTCAGGTCACTGTAAGTAGTGTCTCTTAGGACAATAGGGGCTTCAGATAAGGCCAAAAGAACAATACAGCTCTACCCATTCTAGTGTCAGCTGCAGTCTCTGGCAGTAGGCACAGTGCTGTGCAAATGTGAGTGTCAATGACCATGTGGCTGCCTTGCATATGTCAACCAGGGAAACATTGCATAGCAGGGCAGTGAACACTGAGATAGAGTGTGTAGCATGTGCTCTGATGGAGTCAGGAGGCTGGACTTGTTTGAGCTGGCAGCAAAGGTGTATGTAGTCAGCTATCCATGTAGACAGTCTCTGCTCGGAGATGGAGATTCCCAGAGATTGTGGTACGGTGGAGAGGAAGAGCTTTCAAGTGCTTTGGAATGGTTTAATTCTATTTAGATAAAATGATATTGCCCTTCACATGTCTAGTGTATGCATGGTGAACTGAAAATCGTTGGTGTGTGATTTCAGGAAGAATGTTAAGTCAAGTCAATGTGTTTGTTTAGATGGAAGAATGTACTTTGGGTAGAAATCTAGGGTGTGTGCAAAGCATGACTATCTAGAAAGAAGATGATATATGGAAGGTTTGCCATGAGAGCTCTGAGTTCTCTCACTGTTCTGAAGGAAGTGATTGAGACTATGAAGACTGTTTTCATGGAGAAGTATGAGAGAGAGCACATGGCCAAAGGCTCAGATGGTCCATCATGAGTGTGTTGGTCCCAGGCTTGCACTGTTGATCTGATATTGAGGTATAGTGCCTGGGTGTCCTTCATAAATCTTTTGGCGACTGAATGTGCAAATACTGTAGCATTATCCACTGTATGGAGTTGATAACTAGCTCTCCAGAAGAGACCAGGGAACACGGTGTTGGCTTCGCAATTAGAAACAACCTAGATTGGCTCAGTCATATCGCCAAATGTGGGAACTGAGAGAATGCTGAAAATCCAGCTTCAAACATCAGTGGGCATGGCCAGCATCTTCAGCGTTTATGTGCCTACTTTAACTTCTGACCAGGAAGATAAGGACAAGCTCTATGATGAACTTAGTATTGCCATCAGTGAGGTATCTTCCCATGAGCTGCTGTTCATCCTTGGCGACTTCAATGCCAGAGTTGGCAGCGACCATCACAGCTAGCCATCCTGTCTGGAACAGGGAAGATGAATGAAAACGGACAGCGCCTCCCTGAACTCTGCTCCCAACATGATCTCTGCGTAACCAATACCTTTTTCAACGTCAAACCCCAGCACAAAGTTTCGTGGCGACACCCAAGATCGAAACATTGGCACCAGCTTGACCTTGTCCTCACCAAAAACAGCTGTTTAGGTAGTGTCAGGGTGACACGCAGCTACCACAGCGCAGACTGTGATAATGACCACTTCCTCGTGTATAGTAAGGTGTATATCCAGCCGCAAGATTTTTTCGCTCCAGAAAAGAAGGGAGAACGCGCATTGACACTGGTAAGACTTGTGACCCTTCAAAAGTATGCGAGTTTGTCCAAGTACTTGAAGAAGCCTTGCCCCGCCGAGATGACACTGATATCAGCAAACAACTGATGGGAACAACTACAGGACGCTATCTATGATACTGCGATATCTATCTTTGGGAAGAAGACAGTCAAGTCTGCTGATTGGTTTGAAGACCACACTGAAGTGCTGACGCCCATGATTGAGAAGAAGAGACAGGCACTGGCTGCATACAGGTCCTCTCCCAGTGAGGAGAACCTGCAGGCGCTCCCATTTGTTCAGAGTCAAGTGCAGCAGGTTGCTCGGCGGTGTGCCAACGATTACTGGCTCCAACTCTGCTCCAAG